GAGTTTTTCCCATAAACCTCTTGGATTTCTTGGATCATAATAAACAAGTACAGTGGCAAATAGCTGCCTTAGACTATAAGGTATATGATACAATGATGCTTCTTACAAACAAAGCTCTAAGCTATTATCAGATTCTAATAATCCATGCAAGAAAGCTGCTTCATGAAATGAGCAAGCCTTTTCATTATTCACAACTTTAAGATTGACAAAACATGTAGTGGTTCTAATATGATTTAATAATATACATATATATTATGTTTCCCCTTCAACCGGGTTAGCAGTGACAATGTGACCAATAACATCTTTTCGTTGTCTAGAAGTCTATGACTTTAATTGTTGATTCCAAACAAATTCTTAAGGGAATTATCTATATAACAAGTTTCTTGGGATTTTTAGATTGTTCATATAGAAATATTGATTTAGCATTGTTACTTTCAAGAAATCATAATCTGTTATATTTTTTAAATTACCAAACTTTCAAAATGTCAAAAGTTTTTTTCCTTACGAATGTAACTATAGACTTTGTACAGCAATATATATGTCATTTAAAAGGAATTTATAAATTCTCCACATAGCCTCCTGTGGGAATATCCATATACGTGCTTAGTATTGCTCTATTTCATCAATATCTTTAGAAGTTTAATGCAAACTAACTCCATCATGACCTTTGTATATGTATTTGTGCAAATACTTGACTGATTTAATAGTTGAACGAATTTTGACATTGATATGACAATCAAATTTCACAAGCGAATAGGGATTACATGGTATCCAGAATGATACCTCTTACTTTAACTTCTTTGCCATCATTTTGCTATTCATATATTAAGAGGTAATTTAAATCTTGAAAGCGTAGTTCTAGCATATGGTATAGTAGATGTAGAAACTCTAAATACTGCAGTACGTAAAGCTATGAGCCCTTTTAATCTAACAGCAGTGAGAATTGCAGTATATAAATATATGTTCCCAGTTCCACCAGGACCATCTATGAAAAAAGTTACAGGCACTAGTAGAAAAATAAACAAACTAGACGGAACAAACTAGACGGAATTTTTTTCCGTCTAGTTTGAGGCAAACTAGACGGAAAAAATTCCGTCTAGTTTGTTCCGTCTAGTTTGTTTATTTTTCTACTAGTGCCTGTAACTTTTTTCATAGATGGTCCTGGTGGAACTGGGAACATATATTTATATACTGCAATTCTCACTGCTGTTAGATTAAAAGGGCTCATAGCTTTACGTACTGCAGTATTTAGAGTTTCTACATCTACTATACCATATGCTAGAACTACGCTTTCAAGATTTAAATTACCTCTTAATATAGATAACAATACTACTTGCAACGTTAGTAAGCAAAGTGGACATGGTAAGTTATTATGTGCTGCAAAAGTTATTATACAGGATAAAGCTACAATGTCAAAAAGTTATTATACAGGATGAAGCTACAATGTCAAAGGTTATTATACAGGATGAAATGCTACAAGATATAAATAGCTGTAAATTACCTTTAGTGGAAAGGTAACAATTTTCGGTGGGATTTCCACTAATTAAGTACTGCATGTCATCCCTAAAACAACGAGATAGGAGTTGATAGATGCAAGTAAAAGTCAATAATATGGCCCCTACTTCAAAAGATTAGATTAACTGAAAATATGAGAGATAAATCTGATCCATCCTTTACTGCTTATTTATTATGCATTGGTGATGGTATAGAGAAGCTTGTGCTACATGACATGATAAAACTTCCGTCTCCTATGATTGTGCCTTACATAGATCTTTAAATAAACTGATTGAATATGTATTTCCAAATTTACAAAAGCTTGCCTATTCTCCTAAACTAATGATAAATTGAGCAATAGTAACACCTAAAAACGAGAATGTCGATAACATATATAAGGTATATGATACAATGATGCTTCTTACAAACAAAGCTCTAAGCTATTATCAGATTCTAATAATCCATGCAAGAAAGCTGCTTCATGAAATGAGCAAGCCTTTTCATTATTCACAACTTTAAGATTGACAAAACATGTAGTGGTTCTAATATGATTTAATAATATACATATATATTATGTTTCCCCTTCAACCGGGTTAGCAGTGACAATGTGACCAATAACATCTTTTCGTTGTCTAGAAGTCTATGACTTTAATTGTTGATTCCAAACAAATTCTTAAGGGAATTATCTATATAACAAGTTTCTTGGGATTTTTAGATTGTTCATATAGAAATATTGATTTAGCATTGTTACTTTCAAGAAATCATAATCTGTTATATTTTTTAAATTACCAAACTTTCAAAATGTCAAAAGTTTTTTTCCTTACGAATGTAACTATAGACTTTGTACAGCAATATATATGTCATTTAAAAGGAATTTATAAATTCTCCACATAGCCTCCTGTGGGAATATCCATATACGTGCTTAGTATTGCTCTATTTCATCAATATCTTTAGAAGTTTAATGCAAACTAACTCCATCATGACCTTTGTATATGTATTTGTGCAAATACTTGACTGATTTAATAGTTGAACGAATTTTGACATTGATATGACAATCAAATTTCACAAGCGAATAGGGATTACATGGTATCCAGAATGATACCTCTTACTTTAACTTCTTTGCCATCATTTTGCTATTCATATATTGGGTAAGAAATTTTACCATGCGTTGTAGAGCAAAAGTTTTTTGGGAATTTGTTTTTGCAACAACCATATTTAGTCATATAATCATTAGTTTGATTTAATTTTCCTCAAGGTGCATCATGTGTTTGACTACAATTGAAGATAAGTGAGAACCTTGTTCCTTTTCAGGAAGTGTTCAGCAGCAACAATGTTGTCATAAGATTCTTGAGAAGTTAGTTTGTACATAGGTTTTAGAATAATAAAAAAATGAGCATGAGGTAAGCCTCTTTTTTGAAATTCAATTGCATATACATAAGCTGCAGCAGGTCCAAAATTTCTCTTTTTAAACAAATCAAACCTTAACTCTTCCAGATTTACTTTAAAGATTCGTGCGATTAAATCAAGTCTATTTTGTGGTTCATCATTAAATTGCAATTCCTGTTTGATTTCTTGCCAATTAGGTTTACATGTCATTGTTAGAAATATATCTAGTTTTCCAAAATGTTGGACTAATGTCATCCCATCAACATAATGTTTCCTCATATCTCTTGGTCCACCTATATGTGATGCCGGCAAGATAACTCGTTTTCCTATTTTAGATGCTCTATTTTCACCCATTGCAACACTATCAACAATTCCTTGATAAACTACAGCTCTAATTTCCTATTGTTTCTTACGAAAATAATATAATCTTGATGTTTCAAGTTTAATATATATACCACCTACTATTGTAAGAGATGTCCTGAAAGTAGGGTAGCTTTTTTATTAGGTCGTATTTATAACTTATAGCAGTAGTACTTCCGACAAAACACGATGTTCCTTTTTCCTCAAGCTTTCTTTGATACTGAAATATAATTTATAATAATATTATCAATAAAACTAAGATAATGTAGCATAAAGTATATCAGAAATAGTCGCTCTTCTCTTCTCTTTCTATTAGTTCAGATGTTAAAATAAGACTCGTATTAATTAGTTGTTCATTATTGGGAAATGGTTTTTTTCTCCTCATAATTTTTTCTATTCCTTGATGCCAACCAATATCATCATATGGAAATAGCAAAAGTTATTGCAACAGATCGTAGCAACCATAATAATGATGAACTTTGAAACCATGACCGGCATGATGGTAGACAATAATATTTCTTTCTGTATGTTCCTCAGTTTCATCACTAGCTTTCAATCCTTATTGCAACCACTTGTGATGTTATGGGTAGGTTGTATACACGTTGGTCTAAGTCAGGATGTGCTTTGATCATGATTTGATAATTTTCTAAATCAGATATGTTTTCTAATTATGGGGAAAAAATTCATGTAAGGATTTATTTTTTAAATTTCAATAAATTAAGATGCAATCTTTAAAAGCAAAACTGGAAGAGTTAAGGTTTCATGTTTGGTATCATAAAAATAAAGTTAAAGATAGGCAAGGCGATTATTTGCAGGTAGCAATTCATTAATGAAATGACAAATTTGAAACCTTGTACTCTGAGGCCCCGTTTGGCAAAGGGTTAAGGAGGAGGGATTAACGAGAAGGGTTAACTTAGTTAATCCATCCTGAAGGGTTAAAAAAATTCTAAACCCGTTTGGATACAATAGTTAAGATAAAGGGTTAACTCTTTTGTGTTTGGCAAATGAAGAGGGGTTAAGGAGATTAATCTCATTATATTTTTAAAAAATACCACTTTCGCCCTTATTGGAGATTTTTAAATAATTACCTCATCCGGGCTTCATGCACTATTTGTTCTTTGTGTTGTGCCTGTACGCAAGTGTCAAGGTGGTTGAGAGCTTGATGATGGCTATTGCCAGTGTCGTTCCTAATTTCCTCATGGAAATCATCATAGGAGCTGGGATTCAGGTAAAATATCCATCTCCATTTGAAAATAAAACTTAATCTCCTTGAAATTGTGCACATAATTTCAGCATCCTGAGAACAATATCAGTTTCAATAATATGATTGGATCAGCAACAAATCTTGTAGTATTTCAGCTAAAAAGCCCTCTGATATGATAGCTTGAAATTGTCATCCTCATGTGCTTATTTGATCATACTTTCTATTTAAATTTCATAAATTTCCCTTTGAAAACATCCAACAGTCATATAACTCCGTGTTCAATCCAACAGTGCCAATACCAAAATGATCTCCATGGCATAACCTTCGATAACCAATCCCCTGACCTCCCGAAAATCCCAGGCGATTATGTTCTTCAAAATGTTTTAGACAATCTGTTAAGCTGAATTCATCCTCATGATTGAGAATATTAGCATGTTCATAAAGCTAAAAGAGATCTGAACTCCAGGTAACAATATCCAAGTCAGATATTCATGTGTATAATCTGAACTGTGCAATGGGAAACAATAAACCATGCAAAAACGATTTGATTATTCAAGGAAAAACAATCTACTAGATATCTCTGCATAAAATTACAAGTTTTGCTCATATAATGATAGTAAAATACATAATTCAACCTCCATATAATTCAATATTCGACTATTACATATTTTAATTATTCCAGAGCTGCAAAGCAATCCTGTTACGAAGTTGCTCACCCCTTAAACTTTCGTCTGCACCAACCATGTATTGATGGTCTTCTTCCTCCTCCACCTCATCTTCATCCTCATTCATCTCTAATCCATTGAGCATATTAAAGTATTTATCATTTCCCTGATGCCTTGCAATAAAATTATGAAGAACACAACAAGCTACCACGATTTTGACTTGAGTTTTATAAGGAAATGGAGCAGCAACTTTCAAATTTTTGAATCTTTGTTTTAAAATTCCCCATGCTTTTTCCACTGCATTACGTAGTTGTGCATGCCTATGATTATATTTGTCTTTAGTATCTCGATAGGCTCTGGTGGTCCCATTTGCAAAATCTCCAAGATGATAGCGTGATCCACGATATGGTGCGATAAATTTTGAAGTATTAGCATATCCTGAGTCAACTAAGTAAAAGCGACCTATATATTTAAAACAATATGAATTTAGATCTAATTGATTTAAAAAAAGAATATGAAAAAATGTAAAAATTTACCTTCAGGAACATTAAATTTACCATCTTCCAGTGTTGCACGAAGAACTGACATATCAGATGCTGATCCCTCCCATCCAGCAGCCACATAAAGAAAAGTATGATCAAAGGAGCACGCTGCCATTACATTTTGAGATATAAAATTCTTTCGATTACGATATCTGTTGTGTTTCTTTTTCTTCACAATTACAGGAATATGAGATCCATCAATTGCTCCCAATGCTTTCTGCAAATATAAAAATGTATAAAGACTTAATGTACAGAAACGTACACACATACACACTTTTAAATATATGGAAAAATATACTAATTTAGCTTTACCTTAAAATATGGGAAGAAATTAGGATTCTCTCGAATCTTAGGATGAACGTCTACGTCAACGGTGGGAAGCTGGATATAATCTTGTTTTAAAGATAAAATAGCATTAAGCACGTTATTATAATGTCTGCTAATAGTCTCTCCTGAATGTTGGAATATCTCAGCTAATATTCGGTTTGAAAGAGCATGCGAAATTCCGTATAGAAATATACAAAGTTGTTCATTGCAGTTTAAATATCTAGTTGGCCTTAAAGCATTCTTCTCAATTAGATCATTTTTAAGCAAAAGAATTGTCTCAGAACTCATTCGAAAGCAAGAATATGAACGCTCAGGATGTCCAGCCAACATATCTTCCACAAGCATATGACCAGAGAATGGTCTAGTTCGACATGGTCGAGGAACCTGCTTCATCACATTTGATTGATGAATGACGCTATTAAGCATCTCGTTCCACATTTATTCTTCCTCATTGTCATCATTCAAAAGCAACGCCTCTATAAGATCATCTTCATCATCAAATGCTTCAATATCATCAACACTAAGATTACTTGCAAAATCTTCAAATGAATTCATCTTCAACCAAATTAGAAACAAAAAATTAGATAACTAACTAATAAAGAATGGGGGCTATAGTTCACAACATCCTTGACAAAAAATTATATAACATAAAAACCGTCCAACATATGCTATAATCTAAACATTACAAAATCATAAATTAATTGTCTGACAATAAGAAAACTATTCTTTCGAACATGAACTTTAACTAAAAGCAAGAAAACATATTACTAAACTAAATTTTATTAGTCTTGACTCTTGAGACTTGAACATAAAGCGTCAATTCAGATTTAATTTTTGTTTCTCCTTTAGTAAGCTGACAAATGATCCCATTTCCTGCATGTTGTTGTCATGAGCTTGTGACATCCGTGATTGACCCTGAGAAGTTTGAGAAAGGCCATGCCAGCTTGGTTGATGAAATGACTCATTTTGGAATTGGTACATTTGAGGTGGTGGTTGTTGGATATTGTAAATAGACGATGGAAAACCGGTCATTGCATTTTGTAAATCCATTTGTTTCTTCAGCCATGATAATAGCATTTGACCGTTAAGCATATTAACAACATGCCTATTCTCCTTCTTTTTAATAGCTTCTGCTCCTGCCACACAAAGATCACTAGTTACACCTGGTAAATTCATTATCTTATCCATGCACTCTTTCATTTCAGTGGGCACCCCTTTCTTGGAATCTACTAGCTCTTTTGTAATTTCAATTCGCTGCTTTTGTAGCTCAATCATCTTTGACAAATTATTTTCAACTTTAATATCTGATACTCGACGACGAGAAATGTTTTTAAACTTACGCTTTAAACCTGATGGTTGAGCTTGCTGCTTTATGTTTGGAGTAGACATAGGTATTGGTTGAGATGGTAGTTGTGTATCATTAAAAGGAATTTGTGTCTCTTTCACTACTTGTACCTCCTCTGAATCACTCAAGTCTTAGCTCTTGTTACTGTGTCGCCCCTCAGTATCATCTAATTCATTATCTGAACTAGTGCTTCCTTCACGCTCATTGAAGTCATCGGTAGTCCCAAACCACCAGCGCCCCTTAGATGTGTTACCTCCACATAGAAAATCCATATCATCAACCCAAACCACCAGCGCCCCTTAGATGTGTTACCTCCACATAGAAAATCCATATCATCAAACTGAGGAAATGGTTTGTTCTTAATTCTTAAATATTCATCATTTTCCTGCGGTTGAAAATTCATAATAAATATATCATAGTTTCAATTATATAATATTCAAATGTTTTAATGGTAGAAATTTAAATAATACCTTTATCAATGCCTCCCAATCCTTTGTAGTAGGCGCAATCACCATATTTTTACCTTCATCCCAACCCCAACCTGATTTATTTCGAAGTTTGTAATTTAGGGAATATTGTTTTTTTAAAATTTTATAGCGGTTTTGCATTTGTAGTTTGCCTCTGTCCTTCTGTCCAGTCCTAACTTTATACTCATCGGTTACATTTTGCCATTGCTCGGTAGTGAAATGACCTCCATTGTTCTTTCCTTTAAGGACCATTTCCTTTAATATTCCCATCAAACAATTATCTTCCTCTATAGTCCAGTTCCTTGCACGAGGTCTTGACTGCCCACCTTCGGGTTGAGATTGTGATATGAAGTTCTTCTTAGCCATTCTAGATCATAATGATAATTTTAAAATAAATTAATCAATTGAACAATGCTATGTAAACTATTCATAAGTAATCGAAATGTGTTCACTGTCCAAGTTATATCAACAAAGAAAGACAGACATGTGCATGTGCTAATGTAATCGAATTCAATAGTTTACTGGACAATCCTATGTAAACAATGTACAGTTAAAAAATACTGTAACTGACATTGAACAATGATACCAACCAAACATAATTCAAAACTTAAGTCTTGAGGTAAGTAATGGAAGTGATGCGTAAGTAGAAAAACAAATACTGTAACTGACATCGAACAATGATATGTAAACAATGCTATGTAAACAATTCAGTAATCGAAGTCATACTGTAACAGAATCAAAAAATTGAGTCAATTGTAATGGAGCAGCAAGTAGTTTACTGGACAATGCTATGTACACAGTGTACAGTTAAAAAATGTCCAGTATACAATGTCCAGTAAACAATGTAAGATCAAATAGTCAGTTAAAAAGGTCACTGACATCATATTTTGCTAATTGCTGGACAATGCAAGATTAATATCCAGTAAACAATGTCAAATAAACAATGCAAACTCAAATATCAATCAAAAATCTCACTGACAATACATTTTGCTAATTGTAGGACAATGCAAGTTCAATATCCAGTAAACAATGTCCAATAAACAATACAAGATCAAATATCAATCAAAAAGGGACATTTTGTAATTGCTGGACAATGTAAGATCAATATCCAGTAAACAATGTCCACTAAACAATGCTTTCTGCAAATATTCAGTTAAACAATGTCCAGTTAATAAAGGTCACTTGTTTGTGTACAAATTCAATTCAAAACAACAAAGAAAACTGTCACTGACTTTTTTCAAATTTTCAGCAAATTACATTAAGTTCAATGGCACTTTTTCAGCAACTGTCACTTGTTTGTGTTCAAAATCAATTCATAACAACAAAGAAAACTGACATACATATGTGCTAATTGCTTTTTTGTGTACATCCACATGTCTGTCACTTACACATCATATTTTGCTATATAAATACTGTCACTGACATATGTATGTGCTAATGGAGTTGATGCATAAGTCATAAAACAGATAATGTAACTGATATTATATTTTGCTATGTAAACAATGTCCAGTTAAAATATTGAGTTCAATGCAAAGTTTAATGACCATTTCAAACCCCAGTTCAATGTCCAGTTCAAGGTCCAGTTTATATCAATAAATTTCAGCAACTGATTGCAAAAGTGTAATGAGTTCAATGTCCAGGTAATAAATTGACATGTAAGACTGACTTTTTTCAATTTTTCAGCAAATGACATTGAGTTCAATGTCACTTTTTCAGCAACTGTCACTTGTTTGTGTTCAAAATCAATTCATAACAACAAAGAAAACTGACATACTTATTTGAATAACAAAGAAAACTGACATATCTTAAACCAATAAATCATAGAAGACTATATAAAAAAATAAGCAACTGACAGCAAATGTGATCTTTGCTTATAAACTTCATACTGATATATGTGTTGAATAGTGATGTATACACATGTGAATACCATAGGGCCACATTAAGTATTGAACTCAGTGTTAATCATTCCTCCTTGTTAATGTGATATATATATATATATATATAAACTTCTATAAACTACATACTTATATGTCATGTGGAGACTGAACTAAACACCCTAACAAATCATGTCTGAAACAAAGCTGAGTTGGTGTACCTGGACTGAGACGTTTCTTTTTCACAAAAATTTTGAAATTATCAAATCCCACACCCCACTTTACATGAATTCACAAATAAATTGAAATTAACAAATCACACACCCCACTTTATAGGTTAAATATATAACCATTTATAAAATAACCATTACTTAGCATATACATTCTCTATCTTCCAAACAAATTAAACCATAAGCTACCATTAACCATCTTACATATTTCATAAAGCTATCAAGCAAATAGGAGAACCAAGGAAATCAATTTAAAGGAAGATTAGGTCAGATTCTGCATGTAAACAATACTAGAAAAACTTGTAATCAAACCAAACTCTCCAATTTCAGGTGCAATAAATGTACTTTTTTTTCACCAGTATTTTTCTAGTATACAAACAATTAAGCAAATGATTCATAATGGCATTTTCTGAACTTGTAGCATCACAATAAAGATTAAAAGCCTTAAATTTCAACCTTTAGCAAGCTGTTAAATGATCAAAAACATCAATCAACCAACAAGATTCTTATGAACATAATCGATTGTATGGCAAAAATTTGGAAAGGGGTTAGATATTACGAAATTAACATACCTCTCTTTTCTTTGCCTCCCGTCACTTGAGATCACAATCGGCTGCAATTTCCTCTCTTGTTTCCCCTTAAAATTCCTATTAATAGCTCGGGAGAAGAAGGGGGAAAAGAATTAGAGGGAAATTTTGGAGGGAAAGAAGTAGAGGGAATCGATTTTGGGGAAGATCAGGTTTTGATTCGAATCTTACCTTATAACGGAATTGATCGCTGGCCTCCCCAATTTTCGCTACCAAATCGCGGATTGTATACGTCTTGCCTATTTTTGACTGATAAAATGTTATTTCCATCGACTGCCCTCGCTTGAGAGATCGGGACAATCGTTGTTCCGCCAAAAAGAGGGGAATTGTTATCCCGTATAATCACGGCTTAAGTGAGGTAAATGGGTCACGTGAGGGATAACTATCACTTGGGTTCTTTTTGGCGTTTGGCAGACTAATGGAGGGTTAAACCCTCTTAATCCTCCATTTAACCCCTAGCCAAACACAGCCTGAAGGCGTAAATCCCTTTGTTACTCTTGCACAGGAACTTGTCATATCGGACATCAAAAGATGTGAATGCAAATGAGTTATTATAAGTGCGATCATATTTATGAAATAATAGAGATTAATTCCTTTGAACTAGAAGTATATAGTTGATATATTTCATCTGGAATTTTTTTGATAGCTAATAAGATTTATTCTCCAAAACAACAAAAGACTTTAGGCTCTAATAAAATCGTATTGCATCACAATGTTTACGTACTTCGGGTGCAGGTAATATGCATATGTGTATTTATATACACACATACATACATATACACACGCTATTCGTGAAAAGATGATTAAAGATCCACGCTCTAAAATTCACGGCAAAAATGAGTGTTTTCATTAACAGATGGTCAAAGACATCTATTAGTGGATTACAATTATGCATATTTCAAAGGGTAGCTATCATGTACTAAATATTAATACACTTAGAGATGGAGTACTTCACCCGC